CTCAATCAGGAAATTGCCTCTATTGGACTGGCCTGTGGCCATGTCTGAGGGGCATCTTCTTGATGAGTGATGTGGGAGGGCCCAGCCCACTGTGGGTGGTGCCCCTCCTGGGCAGGTGGGCCTGTGTTGTATAAAAAAGCAGGCTGAGCAGGGGCCAGGGGAGCATGCCTGTAAGCAGCGTTCCTCCATGGCCTGTGCTCCAGCTCCTGCTTCCAGGTTCCTGCCTTGAGTTCCTACCTTGGTCTCCCAGATGAACTGCGACCTGGGAGATGTAAACTGAATAAACCCTTTCCTCCCCAAGTTGGTATTGGTCAGGGTATTTTGTAACAGCAATGAAGAGAACAAATCAGAACAGTAGGGGACTGCAAAACCCCACTGTCTCCATTAGACAGGTCAACTGGACAAAGAATAAACAGAGAGACATCTGAATTAAATGATACCATACATCAAATGAACCTAACAGACATCTTTTGATTATTCCACCCAAACACCTAAGAAAACACTTTTTACTCAGCACCTTATGGAACTTTTTCAAAAATTGACCACATACTGGGCCACAAAACAAACCTCAACAAATACAAAAATACTGAAATAATCCCATGCATTCTATTGGACCACAAAAAAAATAAAGCTCAAAATCAACACTGGATGAAGCTCTAGTCACTACACAAACTCTTGATGATTGAATAACACACTCCTAAACACTGATGAGTCAAAGGAGAAATTAAGAAAGAAATAAAAGAATTCCTGGAATTCAACAAAAAGGACAATACAACACAACACAACCTCTGGGACACATTAAAAGCAGTCCTACAAGGGAAGTTTATAGTTCTAAGTGCCTACATTAAAAAATAGGAAAGAGCCCAAATAAATGACCTAACACTGCAACACAAGGCACTGGAAAGGCAAGAACAAATGAAACCCAAACCCAGCAGAAGAGAAGAAATGACAAAAATCAGAGAAGAAATTAATGAAATAGAAATGAAGAAAACAATACAAAGAATCAATGAAACTAACAGCTGGTTCTTTGAAAAGCTAAACAAGATAGACCCTTAGCCCAGTTAATCAAAAGAAAGAAAGAAAAAATCCAAATCAACAAAATCAGGGATGAAAGGGGTAACATCACAACAGACACCCCAAAAGATCCAAACCATTATAAGGGAATATTTTAAAAACCTACATGCTACTAAATCTGAAAGCTCAAAAGAAATGGATGGATATCTGAAATCATGGGACCCTCCAAAGTTAAACCAAGAAGAGATCAACAGTTTAAACAGACCCATAACATATAAGGAAATTGAAACAATAATACAAAG